CTGACCCCCTTCTTCTCCCTCCTCCTCCTCCTCCTCGTCCTCGTCCTCCTCCACCACCTCGTCCAGGTCGCTTTCCTCCTCCTCCTCCTCATCCCGGTCAAACTCCACGCGCACGCCCATCTCCTCGTCCAGCACCTGCTTCTCATCCTCCTCTTCGCCCTGCCCTTCCCCCCCTGCCCCTCCCGTGTTGAAGTCGTGGATCCCCTTCCCAAGCGTCACGAGCTTGTTGAACTTCTCCGGCGAAAGCTTCCGGATCAATTTTTGAATTTCCGTTAACCGGCGCGGGTCGGTCAGGGACTCGTCCTTGAGAATGGCCAGCACCTCGTCGGCCGCCCCCCGCAGAATGTCCTGCGGTTGGTCCCCGATGTTTCCCTTGATCAGGCCCAGCATCTCCTCGTACGCCCGCTTGCTCTCCGGGTGCCGGGGCCGGTAATTGATCGCCTCCAAGGCCTCCGTCTCCGTCAGCACCGTTGCGCCCCTCCCAGCCGAAAACACGCCCTTCTTTGACTCCTTCGTCCTCCCTCCTGCTATCTTCTTCCCCCCTTCCAGCCCCCTCAGCTCCCGCTCCCGCTTCTCTTTACTCCTCTGCAGCCGTTCCTCCACCTCCGGCGCCCGTGTCCTCCCTCCCCCAACACGATCGCCCATCCGTTTCCCCGACAGCTTCTTCTCGTCCCACACCTCCACCTCTCCCGTCGCCTCGTCGTGCCGACGGCGGCCCCCTTCCCCGCGGTCCGCTTCCAGGACCAAATTGCTGTTCGCCGTGTAATCATACTTCTTCTGCTGCTCGAACTCCAGGGACATGGCTCCTCACACGGACGACGCCTGTGGGCGTGGCGGATGTACCTGAGCGACCGGCAAACCCTTTTGGTGGCGTCCTGGCCTCTGACTGTGCGGGATCACGTCTGCGGGGATCGCGTCAGGTCCGAAAGAGGGAGACAGAGAGAGGGGTGGGGATCGGGCAAGATGGAAGCGACGACAAGAGAACAAGCACGCCGTATCGTCCAGTCAGGCACAGGAGGCGGAGCTCACTACCATGCACCCGAACGCTGTGACGATATGGCAACCATGTAGTGCACGCATGAACGAGCATGGCCGTGCGTCAGCCACAGTGATACTATGACCCTTCGGAGTCTGCAAACCTTACGATGCTCGTGCTCGACAACCATGACGTCGGCACACTCACAGATCTACAAGCCCTTCAGCACATCATGCATGCGCACACAACTTGTATCGATTGCATACACCAAACATTACAACAAAAGATGCACTAGGGTTGCTAATGTCCAGCGTCATACTTTCTTCAGCATGCAGGAGGCATGATACTATGATGAACGGTGCAAGCACGACAAGACAATGCGCGCTGACAGCCCGCTCCACGCTCAACCTGTTCATACCATCTACCAAAAATGCCTTTCTGAATGGCCACGCATGGAATTTGTGCTGCGCCTGCACCAGCAAGGCTCTCTCTTGCGAGCAGAAACCAACTTGCGTGAGGCCTGTTCGGCGCTTGCGTTACTGAAGCAGATAGTACAATCTTTGGCAACAACACATGGTTTAACCCAACGACACGGGTGAAGGCGGCACTTGCATGGCTTTAAGCGTGGGCATTCCATCGGTCACTGCTTTGCGGTCGTGCGACATGCGCCTTGGCCGGTGACATGAGGGGACTGGGAAGCCGGGCGTGGCATGAGGAGGAGCGAGGACAGCGGCTGTCCGAGGGCCCTTCCTACACTTCCTTTCAGAAAATTCACCAGGTCCTGTGACACTGATTTCCGCCCACCGTGGACGCCGAATGCATAACGGGGCATTGACAATTTCATCACGACCTATAACTTCGCAGGTGTCGTCTCTCGAAAACGCAAGTAGGATGTACTGAGAACGGTCAATGTTCGCAGGCAACCTCCCCCTTGGTCTGCTTGTTCTGACAATACCCACGGCACTTTTCAGTCCCTCCCACGTTCTTAGCTTCCGCCGCATGCGCAGGACCCTTCCTACTTTCATCGTGACAGACCTAGTACCATCAAGAGAAGGTTGGGGGCGGCGATTTATGACGATGGCTTCGGCAGAGGCATCCCATCGGCCTCAAAAAGTAGCCGTGCTGGGGGCCGGCGCGGCGGGCCTTGTGACAGGGCGCCTCTTCCACGAGGCCGGATTTCGAGTGCGTATATTCGAGAAAACATCCACAGTCGGCGGAGTTTGGAAATACCGGCCCGAGGATGTCGTGTACAGATCGTTGGTGACGAATTTACCCAAGGAGATCATGGCCTTCCTGGACACGCCCTTCGACCCCTCCCTTCCGTCCTTTTTAAGACACACGGACGTTCAGACGTATTTGGAGGGGTATGCGAAGCAGTACGACGTAGAAAAATTGATCACCTTCGACACGGAGGTGAAAGAAGTGAGACCTGTGCGACGGACCAGGGGCCAGGAGGGAGAGGGGGCCGCGCCGTATCCTCCGGGTGACTACACGAGGGAGCATGGCCTGGGGGCGGCCAGAGAGAAAGGAGGTCCGGAGGGGGCGGGAGAGGAGGGCGAGGCGCCAATGTGGCGAGTCACGGTCGTGCGACAGGCGGGTGGCTCTGTCGCCGGCGCGTGTGAGGGGGTTCCGGAATCGGAGGTCTTCGACGCGGTCGTGGTGTGCAACGGGCATTACCAAGTACCTCATTGTCCGGACCTCCCGGGGCTGCGTGAGCATTACCGCGGTCGGGTGATGCATTCCCGTGACTACGACCACCCGGAGGCCCTGCGGGGTTTGAAGGTGTTGTGCGTGGGATACAGGGCGAGTGGGACGGATATAGCCAGGGAGGTGGCCCAGGTCGCTTCCGAGGTCCATGTGGTGGATCGGCGCCTCTCCAAAATGACGGAAGACGGAAAGGATGAGGCTGGGTCCTTGCAGCGGGGGAACATCTACCGACGCCCGGGCTTGCGAGTGTTTTTGCCGGGGGGCGACGGGAAGAGCGCGATGTTTGAGGACGGCAGTGTCTGTACGGGCATCGACCTGGTGCTGTACTGCACGGGCTTTCAGTACCACATGCCTTTCCTGAGCGGCGGCTCCGCCTTTGAGAGTCGCCCCTTGTCGCCCTCCGCCCTTCTCTCGGACGCGCGGCTCCTCCGCGTAGAGGACCGTGCGGTCTTCCCTCTCTATCAGCACCTGTTTCACGCCTTTTTTCCCTCCCTCGTCTTCATTGGCCTCCTCCATTCCGTCGTTCCTTTCCCCCTCTTTGAGCTCCAAGCCCTATGGGCCCTGAAAACGCTTCGCCAGCCCCTAGGTTCGGACCCTCCGCCTCCGTCCCTCCCTCCCCGTCGGCGTCGGTTCCAGTGGCTGGAGGAGGAGAAAATGAGGCAAGAGGCCGCAGGACGGGTGCTGGGGAGGGACTGGTTCTTCTTGGGCCCCGGACAATGGGCGTACAAGCGACTGCTGGCGCGGGAGGCAGGGTGCCTGACAAGCGCCCTGGAGGAGGACCTTCAGGTGCGGGAAGGGATCTACAACGACGTCTCCAATCGCCGCCCCGTCTTTCCCGGAGGCTCGGACGCTTATCGGCGGTGTGAATATAGGCGGGTGGCAGGCGGAGAGGGGTGGGAGGTGGAGGTGGGGGGGAAAGGAAGTTTTGAGGGGGCCGGAGAGGAGAAGGGGGAGGGGGCGAGGAAAGCCGAGTGCTAGTGGGAGAGAGTTGGAATGCAAGGCTGCAGGGGGGGCAAGATTAGGCCTTCTCGCACGAGTACTGGACTCCGCTCGTGAAACAACAACAACAACACTCCAAAATCAATTCCCTCGAAGGCACGGCTTCTCTCTTCTTTCCCTGCCCCATTGAAAAGCTTCGCCTCCCATGAAGATCCCTCCTTCCCTCCGCTTCTTCTTCCCTCCCTCCTCACGCCCCCAGCTCCCGCTTCATGGTCCTAAAGGCCCCCTCCACCACCCGCAAGGTCTCCTTTCTCATCCTCCTCTCACAACACCACCGGTGGAGAGCATGCCGGCAGGGCGGCAGACACAAGCAGCAGCGGCCCTCACGTTCGCGGTGATACTCCTCCAGGGTGCGGAAGACGGTGGCATACGCGTACACCACCTCCCTCTCCTTCCGACTGTCCCCTTGGACTCGGACCAGCAAGGCCCGGGTCCGCGCCAAGGAGGGAAGGTGGGAAGGAGGAAAGGGCGTGGAGGCTCCGAGGCACATGGCAAGCACATTCCCGTCGATGACGGCGTAGTAGGCG